TAATTTTGTAGTGCTAAACAAAATACATTTTCCTTGCACAAAAGGATGGCATCTAAAACAACATTCAAGCCAGTTTCATGAATGAGGAATAGTAAATATGACCTGTCACTGAGGTTCTCCTCTTCAAGGCTTCCGTCTCAGATCTATGAATGTTACGAGTGTGTGTGTAGAGAGAGATGTACTGTTTACTGCATATATATCTTATCTATACATATATATGGTAAGTTCATATACATACCGTATCTATGTATACTACATAGATATATGTACTATATAAAAGGTCTATAAGAATCTCAGGCAAACCATGATAATGACAATAGCAATTACATCTGGACTTTGGAAGGTGGGTAAATTTTGATTCACTTGATAGAATTTTTTGTTACTTTCCAAACTTTCTAACAGTTACAAATTATTTAGGGAAAATTTTTAATCAGCATATAACTTTGGGATGCCATAAAATCATAAATTTGTAAAAATTTGCACGTTAGGAAAATTTAAAATATAATAGAGGGTATTTTGGGGAATTGGGACTCCAGGAGTTAATTAATTTCTTACTCAATGTCCTTTCTTCTTAAATCTGCTATAAAGAGCCCATATCCTCTTTGTGATGGTAAAGTTAAGGTTTATTTGTAAAACTAATGTGCAGAGGCTGGGAAATACTAGCATAGAGGTTGAAGAAGATTAAGGCACTTTGACCCTACTGGATATTAAAGCTCATTATATTATAAAATACTTAAAATATTTTATTTAATACAGATAAATAGAATAATAAATCAATGAAAAAACAGTCCAAAATAGATTCAACTATATATGAGAAACTTAATATAATACAATAAGCTTTCGAATGCAAACAAGTTAAAAAGAATCATCCAATAAATTTAGCTGAGATATCTAGCAGTAATTTGGAAGGAAAAAATAAAAGAAGAAAGGGGAAGTTAAAGCTAGTAGACAAGATCTACCAAATGAACTCCAGGAGGATTAAGGAGTTAAGTACCAAACTAAAACACTAAGTTATAAAAAAGTCAAAGTAGCGGCGAATAGAGTAGGCTATATAAGAGATTATGAACAAATACATTTTTAGCTTTAATGTATTAGAGACGATCAAAAGGAAAAGTTTATCACATTAAATACATAGATTAAAATCTCTGTACAAGTTAAAAGAAGAAGCAAAATATTGCGAAAATATTTACAGCAGAATTTTGATAGGCAGAATGTCTAATATAGTTTCTTCAAAATTACAAAAAAAATTAGGACAGATGAGGGAAGTTATAAATAAAAATTAGCAGAACATAAAATTAGAAGTTATCCAAATATGCAGAAAGAAATTAATTCTTATTTGCAAGCAAGCAACAAATTACATCTGAGATACTGTTTTACAACTACTAAATCAGCCAAAATAAATTTTAAAAGATAAAACGCTGCAAGAATGTGGAGAACTTGTCCACTGCATTTCTGACTGCATACATTTATAACTCATTTTGAAAGCAACATGGCAAGAGGCAGCGAGGGTGGTAAAGATGTTCATCCTCTTTAGCTCTGATAGTCTATCTATAGAATTTATATGGAACATATAATTCCTCAGAAACAAGAGATCTGCACAAAAATTTTGGAAATGGTCACGTTAAATAACTGCATGATATAGCAAACTAATATGGAATTACTTAGAAACAGGGAAAATGCTTATTGTATAATGATAAGTGAACACAAAAATATACTATATATATGCTGTATTTTTTCAATTATGTAGGAAATACAGATGACAAACTGCAAAGTATGAAAATAATTTATGTGTTAGAGTAGAGTAAAAGGATTAGTGTTTCCTAGTTTATATACGTTTCAATCCAACTGTTTCTGATAATTGACACAAAGCATATGTTAAAATCACGGTCTTTATGAAATAGGTAAGAATTTTGTCCATGAATAAGGCAGTTAGTGAAAAATACATTTCCAGCCAGAGCATCTGATGAGAGCATATGTGTGAGTGTGTGTGTGTGTGTGTGTTCTCTGACAGAAGAGCACCTAGTCAGGGCGCCTGGGTGGCTCAGATGGTTAAGCGTCTGCCTTCGGCTCAGGTCATGATCCCGGGGTCCTGGGATCAAGCCCCACGTTGGGCTCCCTGCTTAGTGGGGAATAAGCTTCTCCCTCTCCCTCTGTGCTCTCTGTCTCTCTCTCCCCACTCCCTCAAGTATATAAATAAAATCTTAAAAAAAAAAAAGCCTAGAAACTGTAAAACTACAATCACAGATAAAATCTGAATCAAAGAGGTATGCAAAACTGAAGTTAGAAACTACCTGGAAAGCACCGGGAAGGGAAACAATTTATATTAAAACAGCAAGTCATTAGTCACTAATGAAATCAGAGCACTGAAAACAAAGCTATCATCAAAACACAAGAATATTCTGAAGAAATCAGAAAAGGAATAAAATAAGCCAAAATAACCCAGGAAGTGAAAGTTAATAAAGGTAATAAGCATTGATGGTTAGTTGTTAATTATGTATTGCTAGTTAGAACTCTTTCAAAAGTGCAAAATAAAAAAGTTGTTTTAGAAACCACTCTGGCGATACCTAGTAACATTGTAACATAGTAACATTCGCACTTCCACTCAACAGTCCTGCCACTGAGAACCTATTCATGGGGGGAGGAAAGAGTAGCAAAGGACGTACAGACAGGGTCTCAAGGAAAATTAAATCTCGTTATGTTTAGTCTTTTATCGGCAATTGGCAACTTCTTTTGTTGTTTTCCTACTCAAAATATAAAGCTGAAGACTCTCATGTTCTCAAACTATTTTATTACCAAGTCTGATTGCCCAACAAATTTATGAGGAAATTTGTAAAAGCTATATTAGATAATTGTGGGGAGTCATAAAACTTATCTAATACGTTAGTAAAAATTCGCCTTATTGTTGATTACTCCTGTATTTTCTGCATTTAAAATGAACTGATTTTTTTTGTCTATTCCTCTTAAAAATAGGTCTGTTTGTTCTACCACTAGGGTAAAAAAAAAGAGGGTGATTTCCAGAATTTTAACCAAAAGCATAATCTGTTATCTCACGGCTTCAGCTGTTTACATATTTTAAACTGAATAATGGGCTTCTAATAGTTTCAAAAATTAAACACAATCCAGACCCATGTTGGTATTTCCACGCTCAGGAGAAGCAATCACGATGCAGTGCAAAATTCTTGTGAAATTCTCATTGTCACTTATCAACCAGCAGTACTCATGATAATTAACCAAGGATGACAAGTGAAAGCGAATAAAGTATAAACTGTATCTGCTGGTGACTACTAAAATCCTTCCCCATTTCAGGCACCTGGCTGGATCAGCCCATAGAGTAGGTGACTCTTGATCTTGAGGTGGTGAGTTCGAGCCCCTCATTGGGGTAGAGATTACTTAATAAATAAAAGTTTTTAAAAAAAATCCTTCACCATTTCAGAACACTAACCTTAAATCATTAACTACAGGTCATAAAATTGCATTAAAATACAAATAACATAAAATTTACCACCTTACCCTTTATAAAGGCACTCTTCAATTTCTCTTTAACATAGCTGGACTTTTGAATTTATAATTTTCACCCCAACTCAGACAAGGAAACCTATTTCACTTTGGGAAACCTCTGCATGTCATGGATTTTGCAGCACAAAGAGGATTTATACATCATCTCAGGCTCCAGAAGGTGGCAATGTGTGTGTGGACCACTCCACTCTACTTAGTACAGAGAAAGGTATTTTGAGTCCCAGGACTGTCCTTTGCCTATAATGCCTCCTCTGGCCCTACATTTTTTTTTTTTTTATGGTGACAAAAAACATACAGCATAAAATTTACCATCTCTCTCTGTTGGGCAACCATCACCACAATCCATCTCCAGCACTTTTCGCAAAATTGAACCTCTATTCTCGTTGAACTAACAACTACCCTGCCCCAGG